CTGGAAAAGCAAAACTGCCTGTGGAGCCGTCGTCGATTCGGAAACAGCTTTTTGGAAATTCTTTACCTACAAATAAGATCGGAGCAACCGAGCAACGGAGGGCGACGCGAACGAACAATAGCAGTTACCCTGCTTACCAGGGATCATGGAAGGAAGTGCTCGACCTTTCGGGAGATACAGGACTTGTGGATATCGCACACTTTTTGGATCGAATATTTATCAAATTTTTGAGTAAGACTCGGAACAACCCTGTGCTTTCGCCAAACCAACAGCCAAGCCGGGGAGCCCGGTCCTTGTTGTCTTTGGCCGCGCGACGTCTTCCTGATTTTATTGCAGAAGAGCAAAGGATACAAGATGAGCTGGAGGATGATTGTGATGTAGATATGTGTGATGCATATTTTACTGAACTCGAGGCCCATTATGCTCCAAGTGGCAATGGATGGCTGCCCCTACGCGAAGCCGTGCGTGCTCAGGGTATTCGACTGGTCTCTGAGATGATACACAAGGGTTGGATCACTAAGGTCGCCGCATGTCGACTTCTGGAGGAATGTGTGAGCCATGGTGAAATTGACGCCTTCGAGCTATTATTGTCTAAACAACTCACAACCGTTAACACATATGATTACCCAACGGCGTTCGATCCTCACAGGCCATCAATCCATTGCGATGATCCTGTCCATATCCTGGGAATTTATTACGCAAAATGTATTGGAAGCCGCTCGTTCATCTTTGACCAACTGGCAAAACTCCTTTCACGTGGAGCCATGCCGCCGGAGTGGATGGTCACTAATCTGTGGAAGTGCTGTGTAGATGGGGCAATCAAAGCTCTATCAACCGAAAGTGTTAACTCGGCTGCTGCAACACGACTGATCGAAGCTGTGATACTTTCGGCTGGTGGTATTTCCCAGGCTTCAGATGGGCTCGTATCTCACGGGAAGGCTTTAGGTTCACTACGTGGCCGTCTAAAGGACACCCGTGCCTCCGCGGCGAATACGGCAAGTTTACCCAAAGACCAGTCGCCCTGCCCTGTTCCAATCCAAGATGCTCTGAACAATCTCACTTCAAGTCTTATTACTGCGCTATGTGGAATGTATATAGCACGGTCGCAATCCGCAGGTGCCGGTGATAGCGTGATCGGTGTAAAGTTCAAAGACACGTTGAGGCATTTGGCATTTACCATTCAGCGGGCTATCGGGCTGGGACAATCGTGCGAGGCTGAAAGAACGACTCTTCATTCACTGCGCCGTGGGTATGTCTTAGTAGGCGACTGTATGCTGCAGCGTGGTGAAGTATCATCGTTGGAGCCCATCGGCCCGTCGGACTCTATCTCGAGGAAGACTCTGGACCTGTTTTTCTTATCATTAGCGTGTCAGCATGACATGGTCAAAGAACTAGCAGATCTGGCCCGACGGGTTGTCATGTTCTACGAGCGCACGCGCAATATCAGCCAAACTAGGGTATCCTCGGGGGTTCGGTCCAAAATTTCACAACTCGCTGGGCTGACGAAACTCCATGGTTTCTCTTCGCTCCTTGCAAAGGTAGCAGCCGAAACTGCCATGGGACTCGCCGAATCTACTCTGGATGCCGATGACCATACCTGGGCGATTGAGGTCCAACAGCATGCGGTTGTACTTCAGCAAGGAGAGAACCCGAAACAGAACCCCGCATCTGGCTGTGAAGCCATAGGTGATAGCGCTGATTTGTATCGATGGGAGGAAAGCATCGGTGAATGGGTGGCCAGCACACCTGCAGCCAAATCGAAATCTACTCAGCCAAATATCGCCAAAGGATATTCTGCTCGGTCACCAACCATTGCGTGCTCGACGAGCAGCATATCGTCCAGTTCTAGCCCCTCACAGGATGCTGCCTCCAGCGTCACATCATCTGCGCCATCTGTCTCAGCTAAAAGAGCTTTCACGGCCGCAGGAGTTGGCTCTAAATCATGCAAGAGGCTTCGCTCAACCCCTGTGGAAAGCCAAACCCGTGGTTCACCAATAGCGACGGTGCTCCCGCTTGCAGGATCCCCGATAGCCGCCCGGACCAGGGCTGCACGTGGGGCCTTCAAGGACTCAGTCCAACCGAAAGTTCCGAAAGCGTGCCCTATCAACACTTCATTCCCTACAACCAAGGTGGAAGTGGTCATTATCAATAAGAACGTTTCAGCCTTAGACCCCATGACTCGCAGGCGTCATTCCCGAACTACGGACGAGCGTATCGACTCGAGGCGTAGAAAATCACTCTCGGCCACATTGGAGCATCGGAGTGCTGGCAAACAAGCAAGTGCACCACCCATAACGAGGCGGACGATTCCTTGCTCGCAGGATGACGATAGTGATGACGAACTAAGCTTTTTGTGAGAGTCTTTGTCAATTGGCCGTAGAACCCCCTCCCATCCTATGTCTGACGAATAGTATTGGTCACTCGTTCTTTTCTTGCTTTCATTGGCACTGGAAGTTCATCAAGGCGTTTCAGGATTATTCTCAATTTTTTCGGTCTTTCATTTTCTTTTCTTTCGAAGGTGTTACTTTGGATTTATGGATCTGGTAGTGTATGATACCCGGGCATTCGTCGGATGTTTGGACAGTTGGTTTTTTTATTTTTTATACTATTTTTTTTTTTTGGAATCCTTTTAATTGCACGATAGTTGGATTAGCCTGGACTAGTTGGCGCCAAAGATAGAATGGAATCTATTTGACACAACCTCCGTCCCTCCCCCGACCGGGAGTCAGTGAGCCTTTTGACATGGCATCGGAGCCGTTGGGGACGGAGCACTTTTGTAAATTAACGGGTTGTGCATTTCCGGCGCGCCACTCAGGAGGACTGGGCAGAAAGAATGTCTTAGACTCGATGGAGACTTGTGTTGGGGTCTGTGGCCACTAAGTAGTAATAATGACGGGGAGATATGACTCGTTCCGCAGGGGTCAAATGATACACTTTAATTTCCTTTTGGGGAAATCTCCGGTTGAATGGCGTCGTGCTTTTAATATATAGAGTACTCTGTACAGATGGACCTGGACGGAAGTTGGAACTAGGGTTGGACTAGACAAGGGTCTCTCCGTTAGTCAGGATGAATAGCATTGTTTAGGTAGTGGTAGTACGTACTACGTCTGTAAGTCTAAGCGATTGATAAGATTTCCCATTGTTATTGTTTGTTTGTACCGGGTCCCCCGTGTAAGTGGGCGGCTATTTCCCATGGTTCAGTCAGGTACACTGAAAGTTTTTGAACCACATATGTACTTGTCAATGCGTAACAAGATTAACAATGGGAAATGCATGTCTCATGAGATTGAATCCTCTTGTGTGTTCGAAGTGGACCAACGGCATAAGCGGTTAACTAATAGCTTGGTAATAAATCGTTCTAATATACCAGCTTCGGTATCCTGAGCAATTTCCCGGTTGCCAAGACGGCGAGGATTTGTTTCGGTAGATTAAGTTCTCATTCCATGTGATGAGTCAGATTTTTGACGGGGGGGGAAATAAAAAGTAAAAAAGCACTTGCAGAGAAGATGTAACATGAAGTGCTTGGGATGTGTAGTACAGGAGAGATCGATCGGCCGTGAAGGTGACGATGCAGGTACATCCATACATACCAGAGTAGTACTAGTAGTACGTATGTACAATACATACAATAGATGAATGTACATAGTAAAAAGTATGTGTATGGCTGGTTGAGCGATCATGTATTGAATGTGGATGGTCTTGAACCCAGTCACGATATTTTATTTTATTTTAGTTTAGTTTAGTTTAGTTTAGTTTAGTTTATTTATTTGTTTTATTTTTTTTATGTTTCTTTTTTACTTTATTATTATTTTATTTTTCCTTTACAGAGTCCACACGTATTTCTCTAGTATACAGTAGGTAGTACTCCGAACTACGTACTTACTACTACGTACTAGTAAACTAAAATTTAACCAAAAATTGAGAACCCACTTTGGGCTTTTACCCGACCCGCTTCCTCTCTCACTCTCTCTCTCATTCTCTCCCTCTCAAGCGCTCTATCACTTCTCTTCCCCACTCGACTGAGCCACTCTTCTCGCCTCTCGACCTGAGCAAGTTTAAATTAGCTCCCACTACTATGTATGAGTTGAGATTGGCCCGTGGGTGCAAGGAGTGTCCCGACGAATGCAAGCCAGCCGAGCCCTTGAGATCTCGTCGCCTACAACCCCCGTTGTTTCATCGTCGAGCCACTCAGCGGGCGTTCTGCCGTTGCCGCCACCATATCGTCACGGCGTTGCGCCCACTCAAGGGATGAGCACTGAGAGACACCGTCATGGCTCGACCGCACACTCCTCTTCACAGAGAAGTCTATCGATATCATGTCGTCTCCATAAGTGGGCCCAGAAATGCCTCCCAAGATTTTCCTTTTCCTCCGTCCCCGCCGTCCCTGACCCAAAAGAAATGAAAATGCCTTGAACTCTTTCCTGTTTCTCTCCTGATCACCATCTCTCCTTTCTGTCCCTGCGAACAGTTGCGGGTTTTCGTTCTCTATTTTTGATTCTTGGCAGAGATCCTGTGGGTTTCTTGCGACTAGTTCTTCGTTTACCTTTGACAGCTGCAAGACTTTGAAATCTTGAGAGAAAAAAAAAAAATAAAAAAAGAAGTGACTGGTTCACCTCACCAACTCTCTCTCTCACATTCCTTTCGTTGCCAGCCGACCCGTGGCAATCCACACCTCCAAACATTCAAGTTCCGATCAGGATCCGTTGCTGCTGGGACCTGCCTTCTCAACAAAGGATTGAATCCTCTGTGTCGTTCTTTGATCCGCGGTCCGATTGTCTCCTGCCTAGTGTAAAGAGAGGATAGCTGGACGGCAACAAGGCCATTGTCTTCATTCATTTCCTGGCAATAGGGATCTCGTATCGGATCATAAATCCCTGGATCTCTTGTCGCCCACCTGCTACTGATCATCACATCGTGGCTGGGTTCACGAGTTAACTGGAAGTCTCTCCTTCGTCGATCGCTGGTTCCGGGTATCTCTATCTGCTGAGCTGGTCTCGCATCAATTTTCAAGTCTTGAAGTTCGTTTGTTGACCATAGAGTCTTCTTTCTTTTATTTTCGTTGCTTCAGCTAGTGAAGCCCTCTTGGTAACCATGAGTCACCTACTTTTCTGTCTGTCCCTGGTAGGACTTTCTTCCGCAACTGTTCTGGACAAGCGTGGTGGCGACTGGATGATCTACGAAATAGTCAACGATGACCTCGCGCGCATCACGCTCATGGTTCTCGGCCTTATGGCAGCGTTCATCTATGTCTGGAAGATGGGGTTCCGGATCTCACACCATTTGAGACGATTGGCAAGTTTCAATAATTCAGGACAGCGCTACTTCAGATCGCCCCATGAGACACTGTCGTTCCTGAAAAACCATGTCATCTATGCCCCCTTGTTTCGCAATCGGCATAACCGGGAATTTCAGCTGTCACGGGCTGTCAACATGGGCACCTTGCCCAGTCGCTTCCATGCATTTATCCTTATCGGCATCATCGCCATGAACGTGACCGTTTGCGTTGTAACTGTTCCCTATAAGAAGGAGGAGAGTTCTGTTGCCGGCGTCATCCGAAACCGCACCGGCACCATGGCCACAGTGAATTTGATTCCTCTCGTGCTGCTGGCCGGCAGAAACAACCCCCTGATCAAACTGCTCGAGGTACCCTTCGACACTTATAACCTAATCCACCGCTGGCTTGCCCGGATCGTTGTCTGTGAGACTCTTGCCCATGTCTTCGCCTGGGCTATTCCCAAGGCTCAGAAAAGTACGTCCCCTGGACCCCGTGATCTACGATGTCAATCTTCGGTGCTAACTACTGCTTAGTCGGCTGGAGTGCCGTTGGAAAGGCTCTTGGACATAGCAATTTCCTCCTGGTCGGCTTGATTGTAAGTTATTTTAGCCGACGAGCCTTATGAGTTTCTGCTTACCTAGCTGCAGGCGACGGCTGCATTCGTGGGGCTCGTAGTACATTCCCCATCTCCCATCCGCCATGCATTCTATGAAACTTTCCTCCACCTGCACATTGTCATGGCCGCGCTCTCAATGGGCTTTCTGTGGGTTCATCTCAATGGGCTTCCCGCACAGACATACTTGCTCGTTGCCATCATTTTCTGGGCTCTCGAGCGAGCTTCGAGACTTGCTATCCTTCTGTACCGCAACTGTGGCAGGAAATCCACTACGGCCTTGGTGGAGGCCCTTCCTGGGGATGCCATGAGAATTACACTGAGGATGGCGCGGCCTTGGACCTTCCAGCCGGGCCAGCACATCTATCTGTACATTCCTACCGTTGGATGGTGGTCTTCGCACCCGTTCTCCGTCGGTTGGAGCGAAGCGGAAGAGCTCGTTGCTGACGAGAAGGGACTTCCCATGACCCGGCAAGACATGTTCGGTAGAAAGCACACCAGCTTGTCCCTGCTGGTCCGTCGTCGGACCGGTTTCACTAACAAGCTGTTTCAACGGGCCCTGAGCTCTCCCAATAGTCAAGTCACGTTGCGAGCTTTCGCCGAGGGACCCTATGGCAGCATTCATTCCATGGACTCCTACGGTACAGTTGTTCTGTTTGCGGGTGGTGTTGGAATCACCCACCAAGTACCTTTTGTGCGCCACCTGGTCCAAGGATATGCAGAGGGCACCGTTGCGGCACGGCGCGTGACTCTCGTATGGATTATTCAATCTCCAGAACACCTCGAATGGATTCGCCCGTGGATGACCAGCATCTTGGCCATGGATCGCCGCCGAGAGGTTCTGCGGATCATGTTGTTCGTTACCCGTCCCCGCAACACTAAAGAAATCCAGAGCCCAAGCTCTACAGTTCAGATGTTCCCCGGCCGACCAAACATCGACACTCTTATCGGAATGGAGGTTGAGTCTCAAGTGGGTGCGATGGGTGTGCTTGTTTGCGGAAATGGTGGCCTTAGTGACGACGTTCGGCGAGTCTGCCGCAAGCGACAGAATCAAACGCAGGTCGACTACATCGAGGAAAGTTTCACCTGGTAGACGCACGAAATGGCTGACTAGAGTCTCGCGCTCTGCCCATTCCTTTTCTTACGTCTTCCATTCCTGCGATTTCTGCAAACATACGTGGGAAATTCTTTTAGAGTATATATATACACACACACACACAAGAAAAAAAATGTATCTTGGTTCGTTACTGGTTGCTTTTATTGGCGATAGGGTGGTATACTATATGGTGTGATTGAGTTTCGGATGGAGCCTTTGCTTTCCAACTGCACATATCAATGTCAGTGTAGTCGTTCATTAGACTATCGATCTGTGCCTTAGTTCCCGCTGTAACTTGCGCTTGTAGTGCATGACTAGTGCTTATCTGCTGACTTCCTAAGAAGGTGCTGGAACAGTCATGGGCACAGAAGCTCTTGATAATTCCGCTGATTACATACGTAGCGGGCAAAACACACTTTTGACAGCTTAGAAATCAAAGAGCGGAAGTGGGGCCGAAGCATTGACGGGCCATGGCATCATTGATTCCCCATTAATCATCCATCCGCGGGGTCACTGGTTCAAAGAGTTCCTGACGATGCTTTTTATACCAGCTGTTCCTTCGATTTCTTTGCGTCCCTCAATTTCAATTCTTTGTCGCTACAACCGCCTAAATCACTTGACAAGCTTTCACTCTAGATATTCAACCAAGATGAGCCGACCCGATATCACTTTGTACACCTGCCAGACTCCCAATGGAATCAAGATCTCCATTGCGCTAGAAGAGCTGGGGTGCGTTTGTAATTTAATCACATCGTCATTGGAAAAATGAGCTAACACAAACCCTAGACTTCCCTATAAGGTAGAAAATATTGATATAAGCAAGAACACCCAGAAAGAGCCGTATGTGACCTTCTAGCCAGAACGTGGAACAGGGGCATTGCTAATTCCGCTTAGCTGGTTCCTTGAGATCAATCCCAATGGCCGCATTCCTGCTTTGACCGACACGTTCTCTGATGGTCAAAAGATTCGTCTGTTCGAATCTGGCGGCATTCTCACCTATCTTGCCGAGCAATATGACAAGGACTACAAAATCTCTTACCCTAAGGGCACTCGCGAGTACTACGAAATGACCAATTGGTTGTACTTCCAGAACGCTGGCGTGGGCCCCATGCAAGGTCAGGCAAACCACTTCGTCCGTTATGCACCCGAGCGCATCGAATACGGCATGACTCGGTATACCAATGAGACAAGGCGGCTGTATGGCGTCCTTGATCAGCACCTTGCCAGCTCCAAGTCAGGATACCTCGTCGGTGACCACATCTCGCTTGCGGATATTTCGCACTGGGGATGGGTTGCGGCTGCTGGGTGGGCCGGTGTCAATATTGAAGAGTTCCCGCACTTGAAGGCGTGGGAGGAGCGTATGGCTGCTCGGGAGGGCGTCGAGAAAGGTCGTCATGTCCCAACGCCTCATACTATTAAGGAGCGTCTTAAGGACCAGAAAACTATGGAAGAGGACGCGGCTAAAGCCCGCCAGTGGATTATGCAGGGCATGAAGGCTGACGCTAAGCATTAAAAGATATGACTTTCTGGCAGGATGTGTGACTCGTGAGATCCATAATCTAATTCTTATATCCATGTTAGCCATGTGAATAGAAATCAATGTCATTTATTTTGCAAGTACGGAGTATTCTCTTGTCATTCTTCCTTTTCTTCACGGAAACTCGTAAGGCTTAGTCATCGCTCCTCACGTGGATACAAAAGCTTGCCACCTCGCCTGCCAGTCCGCGTTGATATCACCTTACTTTTCACTCTCATTGTTATTTTCATTGATAGCCACTAATCCTGTTACTCACATCGCAAGGCAATAGATTAATTTCATTTGCAGCGCAAGTCCAGGAAAAATGGCCTGGCGTAATCAGGGAATCACAGGCTCCAACAACGTCCCTCTGGGCCGGAGACGGTTTGGTGGTGATGATCCCGCAGATGAGGATAGCCGTACGGCAACTCCTTCCTCTGTCGGAGAGCACAAGCGTGGCAGAAGTCCTGTCCGAGGTATGTTGCTCTCGCCACTGACCTCTTCTCGATTCAGATGTGTGGAAATACTAACTGACTTTGCTCTAGCTGACCCTCCAGCTGACGGGGTCAAGAAGCGCAAGAAGCGCAACCGTTGGGGCGATGCGCAAGAGAACAAGGCTGCCGGTCTCATGGGCTTGCCCACGATGATCATGGCAAACTTCACCAATGAGCAGCTTGAAGCTTATACGCTTCATCTCCGTATTGAGGAAATTAGCCAAAAGCTTCGCATCAACGATGTCGTCCCAGCGGATGGTGACAGGTACGCACTCCCTTCGGTTCGTGTGACCATGATCTCGGCATAGCTAACTCATCTTTGAATTGCAGGTCTCCGTCGCCTCCTCCGCAGTACGATAACTTTGGCAGACGTGTAAACACTAGAGAATACCGTTACCGGAAGCGGCTTGAGGATGAGCGGCACAAGCTCGTTGAGAAGGCCATGAAGACCATTCCTAACTACCACCCGCCTTCTGACTACAGACGTCCTACCAAGACGCAGGAGAAGGTCTACGTTCCAGTGAATGACTATCCAGAAATTAACTTCAGTATGATAACTAACCCTCTAACTCCTAACCATTCCTGTGTTGTGTACTTCAAGACTCTTTGCTCGAGTCGGGCTCGTAAGAAAGACATCGCCCGTCGGTGCCTTTTCGGCTCGCTTCTTGCTAACCCTTGCTGCGTGATGTTGAACATTTTATCATTGCTCTCCCATTTCTTCCTAATAACAGCTTGAACTAACACTTAGCTTTCTGCTACCTTTTAAAGTTGGCTTACTCATAGGACCTCGTGGTAATACCTTGAAGAAGATGGAAACCGAATCCGGTGCCAAGATTGCTATTCGTGGCAAGGGCTCCGTCAAGGAAGGAAAGGGACGATCTGACGCCGCTCACGCTAGCAACCAGGAAGAAGACCTCCATTGTTTGATCATGGCAGACACTGAAGAAAAGGTTAACAAGGCAAAGAAACTGGTGCATAACGTTATTGAGACGGTACGCTCTTCTTATCTCCTCATTTCTATTTTAACAAATTACTAATCACAATGAACAGGCTGCTTCAATTCCCGAGGGTCAGAACGAGCTCAAGCGGAACCAGCTTCGAGAACTTGCCGCTCTTAACGGTACTCTGCGTGATGACGAGAACCAAGCTTGCCAAAACTGTGAGTACATCTTGTGCACTGCAGCTTGTTCAGTTTTTTCTGACTCCTTTTAGGTGGCCAAATTGGACATCGCAAGTATGACTGTCCAGAACAGCGCAACTTTACCGCCAACATCATCTGTCGTGTTTGTGGCAACGCTGGTCACATGGCTCGTGATTGTCCTGACCGCCAGAGAGGCACCGACTGGCGTAACAATGGTGGTTATGGTGGTGCTGGTGGCCGTAGAGCTATTGGTGGAGGCGACGCTGTCGACCGTGAGATGGAGGTAAGTGCCAACTTGCCCTCGAGTTGATCAATCGAATATCTACTGACACTGATTTCTTTTTAGCAACTCATGCAAGAGTTGTCGGGAGGAGCTCCAGGTGAAGATGGCCACATCCCTCGCCGCATCGAAGCTGGTCCCGATCAGGGATACGACGACCGTGATGCGAAGCCGTGGCAGCGTGGGCCACCGCCCAGTGATGTGGCTCCTTGGCAGCAGAGAGGCCGAGACAACCGCTCCCGTGACGACTATGGATCGCGTGACCAGGGAAGCGCACCCCCATGGGCTCAGAGTAGCCGTGGAGGTGATTATGGATATGGCTCGCATGGTGGCTACGGAGCCCCTGGCGCTGCACCCTGGCAGCAGCAGCAGCAGCAGCAGCAGCAGCAAGCCCCTCCGCCCCCTCCGGGTGGACAGGCTGCGTATGGTTATGGCGCCTATGGCGGATACGCTCCTCCTGTTCCGGGCATGGGCGCTCCGGGAGCTTCTTCCTCTAGCATGGGAGTGCCCCCCCCTCCACCGGGTATGCCGCCTATGTACTACGGCTCCGGTGGCAGCCCACCACCACCACCCCCTCCTCCCGGTGAAGGACCACCACCTCCTGTATGCCCCCCTCGGACCTCTACTTTCTAGGTGAATGCCTTGCTAACCTTTGTTACAGCCCCCGAGTGAGCAACCTCCTCCTCCTCCCCCACCCGCTTAAGGAGACACGGTATCGTACTTTACCTATTTTTCTCGTGTTAGGTGCAAGCTTGGGAAAATGTGGGAAACGGCTTAGTTTGATAGTAGGATGAGGAGCGTTACTAACAATTGTACTCTGTAGTTTGTTGAGGTCGTAGGCCTCTTCATAGTAGTTCGCTAATTCATACGTATCTTGTGTAAGCGTCTGAAATATATTTTCTTCGTATTCTTAACAGTAGTCGTATGTTCCTTGTATCTATTTGAATGACATCGGCAAGGTATGGCTCAAAAAAAAGAAGCATATGTGAATAGAACCATCAGAGCACAGGGCTCTGTCTGGAGGATTATCTTTCTTGTGTACCGCCATAGGCTGTACCTATTGCCCTACACCCTATACATTAACTCCATCCTTTCCACCATTTAAACCACTTTCTTGCTCCTTTCCCTTTCCTTTCATACTTCTCTAAGGCCGAGCATCAATAACAACATGATGGATATATTATTGGGCCTCAGTGGGTTATAAGATTATGGCCAATCGTCAGATGTTGAAAGACGTATCAAGCAACATATATGCAATCCGCAAAATTGATACAAGACTCACTCCATTATGTTGTGATTTATTAAGTTAATGGAATGAGAGCAACGAGGGCAACGAACCTTATTTGACTCTAGTCTCTTACAGATTCCTAGTACGTTAACTAAAAAACGCAGAGGATCTTCTGCCACGCTTTCACTCTGTTAGTATAGCGGAGTGCCATCAGTTCGTCTTTGTAGATTTCTACAAAGACTAAGACAGATATCTAGACTACCGCTCCGGCCATGGCCGAATCCAGAGCCACGACCTATAGCAAATCTCAGTCCATCGGTACGGTGCTGACCGATTGGAAGCACTGCTTAGCGTTCACTATAACGACTGGGTTAAGCAAACCAAAGCCACTTCGTCAAGGAATCTCCATTTCAGCTGACGACTCCTACGCTCATATCTTAGGGCGACATTACCTTAGGTTCAGTGGTAAGAACCTCAGTTTGACGGACTATTCTCATCTCTCTTCTATTTCGCTTAGCAGATCATTCATGGAATTCTCATCATGAATTCATATCCAACTACTATATGAGTGCTTAACTCCCCCTCTGTGGTATCTCTGCGCGAGCAAGATACCCTTCCGGCCGCCTTCACCATCCAGTGGAAACAATAACAAACGAGCAGTTGCCTACTTGTCTCGTCAGCTAAAGGAACGGAGAATAGTCACACCACATCAGTCAAGCTGAAAGTGGTTCGAATGAAAAACAGGCCAGAGCCCTTGGTGAAACCTTGAGTGACAGGAAGTCATCAAACCTCTAAAGCCCGACTCAAAGGACTTCGTGTGACTTTTCGCGAGAGTCGCAAAGTTCTTATTATATTTGCAACTTGCTATATCATGGATAGCAGCTAACTATCCTCTAAACAAACGACGCCTTGGGACGAATCAAAAATTGCGTAATGTACACTCTTAACAACATTCAACAGCAACGGTACAGTAAGATGGACTTTGCAACTTGCCCAAGGACGAACCTAAACGGCTTTAGAACAAGTGCGAGAACCTAGGATTTGATTTAAGTAGGATCTGGACATTGCTATTACAGCTCTGAGCCACAGCTTTCAGACTATTCCGTGACTCGACTTTTTGATCAGTGACGAAACTGTAAAAGCAGAGACTAGAGCTATGCGGTGCCTAAGCATTGCCATAAGAGCCTATTCTATATATTGAGCCCATTTCTTTTAGTCCGGACGAGCTTAGAGAACATGATTACCGGTTCATTTCACAGACCCCGTTAATGATTACTGAGGCGAATGGGCCCCAGATTCCTGGACGAGAATGGGCTGAGCCAACGCGGCAGTTCTGACTGAAGTCGCTGAACAGTTGCTACGAATGATTATCTAGCGAACGGTACAGACCATGGCGCAAATATCTTCGTCAACCTCTCATGCGAGAGTTTTACCTCATGGTCTACACGTGTACAATGCTCAAGGCGAACTATGAGAATCACCGTTAGACTCTCGAACAACTCGGCTGCGGTGTATTCAATAGTCATCCAAATAATAAAATCATCCTTCTTAGCCGCGGGAAAAGAAAAACCATCATCACTATTGTATGCATTGACTGAGGACTGGATCTTGAATTCCTATCCGGCAAACCCGTTTACATCCAACTACGAATCCAGTCGTCTGCATCACCCCGCCTTAACTTCGAAGGCCTTGACCTGTTATACTTAGACTACAGTAGCTAAACAATTACCATTGTCTACCAAGACTGGTGTGGACCATACAACATCATCGTCCCTGCCTACAAGCTACGAGCAGCTGCCGGCGCAGTTGGCACGCCCGAACCAAATCACCTTCACTAAGGTCAATGTTGATCATCAACAGGACATTGCTAAGGCATACAGCTGGTTTGAGGTTTTTGGCAGACAGTACGCTGCACGTAGGAACGAACACATGCGAAGGAGTGGAATTGGATATGACTTTCCTGGGCTCGAGTTTGGTGTTGTATCAGCCAGGCCGCTTCACCATCAGAAAGACTGCACTAGTCGTCTTTCCTTTCGAAGCTCTCGCCTATCTGTTGATAGTCTCCCACCTCAGTCTGTTCCACAGCTGTGGCCTTTGGAGCCACTCGATTCTTTTGATAATGAATGTGTCACCGAGAAGGCCGATTTGGAACTCCTAGGGAGTTGACCTCCCAACCAAATACGCGAAAAAGAAAAGAACCTACTATTTCGGCACAACCTGCACTGAGATGTATCGGCTTGTGTCTTGACTCTTGACTATTATGATTGGACCTATTCATGCCGTCCACCTGACTTATTGGACCCAATAGTGATGTGATCGTGCTCAAAAGTAGGAATAGCATTTATACATAGTCCCTTGCTAGTTAACGAAGATTATATCATCAAGTTGAAGAAAGAAAAAGGAGATCCTGTTACTGTATACGACGTACCTACTACTAGTAGGTCCATCCATGCATAAATCACTCGAATTTCCCTTTCGGGGATTTAAATCTTATCGATAAGAGTAGACAACTTGATTGGTTCAATCCAAGTGGGACCACCGCCTTTGCGCGGTCAACTTTTTCTGCCGCAAAATTTAGAAGAATTTCATGAAGCAGCCAGAAAGCCAACAGGTTGGAACAGATAGCAATGGCGCCCTCTCGCTCCCCAGAGCCTGTGTCAGACGGCTCTCACGAGCTCTCTGACTCTTCAGACGTTGAGCAAACGGAGTTGCAAAACCGCGCACCCAAAAGAAGACGTCTATCGGAGTCTTCAGTGGACTCCTACGTTGCTCCGGCGCCGCTCCCCACCCTCTCTCGTATCAAGAAGAAAGATGCAAAAGATAGCAAGTCTACCACAACCACGGAGAATGACAACCCTGTCTTGATTCGCGATGCCCTTGAAATTGGACTGCAGGATGAGGAGTCTTCGTTCAAAGCACTCAATGTTTCGCCGTGGCTGGTGGGCTCTTTGACGACTATGGCGGTTAGAAAGCCCACGGCCATTCAAAAAGCTTGTATACCGGAGATTCTGAAGGGAAGAGATTGCATTGGAGGTAGCCGGACAGGTTCAGGAAAGACAATTGCCTTTGCGGTTCCTATCTTGCAGAAATGGGCGCAAGATCCGTTTGGTATTTTCGCGGTCGTTTTGACTCCCACTAGGTACATCTCCAGTTACTGAAATGTTTTCTTAAAGGCTACGGTACTGATCGTTTTTTCTTAGAGAACTTGCGTTACAGATCTACGAACAAATCAAGGCGATCTCGGCACCTCAGAGCATGAAGCCACTTTTGATCACGGGAGGAACAGATATGCGATCCCAAGCACTCGCCCTCTCACAGCGGCCCCATGTTGTGATTGCGACTCCCGGTCGACTCGCAGACCACATCAATACATCTGGTGAAGATACGGTGCGTGGACTGAAGCGCGTCCGCATGGTCGTTCTTGATGAAGCCGATCGACTTCTAGCTCCCGGTCCAGGAAGCATGCTTCCTGACGTAGAAACCTGTCTATCTGCTCTTCCACCATCCAGCGAACGCCAAACGCTCCTGTTCACCGCAACATTGACCCCCGAAGTGCGCGCACTCAAGTCTATGCCTCGCGCTGAAAACAAACCGCCGGTCTTTGTTACTGAGATCTCGACCGAGAATAAAGGCACAATCCCTCCAACCCTCAAACAAACCTACCTCAAGGTCCCCATGACGCACCGCGAGGCCTTCTTACACGTGCTCTTGTCTACGGAAGGGAACTCCACTAAGCCAGCAATTGTCTTTTGCAACCACACTAAGACTGCCGATCTCCTGGAGCGGATGCTCCGCCGTCTTTCCCATCGAGTCACCTCACTACATAGTCTTCTACCCCAGTCTGAACGTAACTCTAACCTAGCGCGTTTCCGTGCCTCCGCTGCCCGGATCCTGGTAGCGACCGACGTCGCGTCTCGTGGTCTGGATATCCCGTCGGTCAGTCTGGTGATCAACTTTGATGTACCGCGCAATCCGGACGACTATGTCCACCGTGTCGGTCGTACCGCCCGTGCGGGACGCCACGGTGAAGCGGTTACCCTAGTTGGACAACGAGACGTGCAACTGGTGTTAGCGATCGAGGAGCGAGTGGAACGACAGATGGAAGAATGGAGCGAGGAGGGTGTCAGTATTGAAGGACGGGTGGTGCGCGGCGGCGTGCTCAAGGAAGTTGGAGAGGCTAAACGAGAAGCCACTGGAGAGATCGAGGAGGGTCGCGACGTGTTAGGGCGGAAGCGGAATAAGCTGAAGAAGGTACGATAGGCTTCGTCAGAGGCATGGATTGATTGTACATATATTGAGGATGTCTTTATTATAATGATATGATTGTTCTTCAGCGATGTTTTGGTTTATTGGACCGGTTTACTTCGGAGTCGGCCTAGTACCCTTTTTTTTTAATTTTTTAATTTTTTAATTTTTTTTTTTTTTTTTCATTCCTACGTCTACTCTTAACTCCTAGGATACGAGTCATCCTTGACTGGCAAATCCCGGATCTACTGCTTTTTCTCCCCCAAAGGTACCTTCAGTACCCTGTATAAGGGTCTCCTACGTTTGAGGACATCAATCCAGCCATTATCGAAAAACAAAATTCACGTGAAGTCAATCCACATAAGATGTTTCGTGAAGGGAATCCAGACTATTCCGCCAAGACCGAATAGTTGACGAACCTCTCCTGATGGCAACGTTCTCGAAACGCCGCCGATAGCCCAACCATGGTGGGAAAATAGTAGGATTTAAGTTTCGGCTATTGTTGTTTCTATGGGGAATGTACATCGTATGACTGACTGGACTGTCAGTGATCACAGTGGAGTCGGCTGGTTGGTACCGCGTCGGCTGATCCCGGTGTTTTACCTCTTCCAGACTGGACAGGAACAAGAAAAGGAAGGAGGATAAAGTGAGATGGTATGTATATTGTGCTGTACTTTTGGGGGAGAAGAGAAATCTCAAACCGAACCAAGTTTCCAGAGTACTCCTGAGTTCCTGGGATGGGGAAAGAATTTGCCAAGACCGAACGAACACCGGGGAGGCATGAGAAGTTATTATAATTTGTATGGGATGACGGTGCATCTCCAACAGCCAAGGTCAATAGTGAGGGAGTAATTACATGAGAAGTACTACGCCGGTGGAAAACCTTGACCGGGGGTCAGGTGACAAGGAACCATTCTCCGCGGGTAAAACGTGACTGGATTCGACGACGCCCCCGAATACTGTGAATCACTGAATACGACGTAACTCCATCTACTCATCTCCTGGCTGTTGTCGAACAGGGACCCTCCGGGGACTGCAAATTCTGATTCATCGCATGACTTCGGATGCATGTCTCCAAATCTAAGCGCCCCTCATTTTCTCCAGGGCCAGTCTGGTTTCCCAGAGTTTCGGATCGGCATTAGTTCGAACGGGAACCCAGATGGGAACGAGGCATCAAGAAGGGCTAAGCATGGGATGGGATGGGGGATGAACATCATCATTCCTCCGGCATACCTTTAGTCTCCCCTCATTTGTGATTTCTTTTTTTTTTTTTTTT